AGTATGTACATCTGTTCCAATGAATCTATTTATATGTGTATATAATTGAAATATGTGCATGAAGTGGCCAGAAAAGAAACCTCAAATGCTGGTCATTAATCACATTAATGTCGGTTTAAACATGTTGAACATGAATTGACTCAGAGCAATAAAGAACTATACTGAACTTTCACTTTTTCTGACACATGATTTGTCAAGCGCTGGACCATGTAGTCACCTGTACCTACAAGGCCAGACTCATAGCCAGGAGGGTTTGAACGACCCCCCCCCACCCACCTCCCGACCAAACATACAACCATTCTGGGAACTTTTCAAATGATTTCGGCCATTTTTGAGCCCAAGTCTTCAAAAGTGAACCCCCCATGGAATTTTTAAAAAGTTTTTAAGAATTTGGAATTAGATGTTTTCAATTGGAAATTATGGGGAGAATTTGTGCAATTAGCAAGTGAATAATATTATATAGTCAACACTCTAAATTGTGTAGAGATTGCAAAAAAAAAATATACAGTTCAGTACAGTTTTAGTCAATCGTACATATTTTACAGTACTGTACAGTACCGTAGCTAAAACAGTACTGTATGGTGCCTTGAACACTAAACGGTACCATACTCAAACAGTGCCGTACGAATACCAAACTCTAAAAGATGTGAAGATGGCCTCCATTCTCATCACTCTTTTCTAATGGCCCTGATTCAATAAAAACACACCCCAACACATACATTCAAAATGATATAAATCAAAATTTATAAATTGGTTATAGCAATGTGATACTTTGTTTTTTTAATGTGATGACAGTGAGCCAATGACACTGAATGAAATATATTCATAAGTGGTAAGTTTATATGAATTTATTTATTAGATGAAATATCAAAAACATATGTTTCTTTTTCTTCTATAAAACAATAGCTCTGTTTAAAACCATTACATGTACTTTAAAAATCTTATGGGAAAAATTGAAATATAAGCTTTCTATTGGTGTATGAAATCATATTATGAATAGCAAACTGACTCATCAGCTTTCCATTGATAGAAAATTATATTGTTGTCTTCATAAAGAGAGTCGCTTTATGTAAATGTCATGTTCTAAACACACTTCAACTAGTAAAATCTATGTAAATAGAACACTATTGGTAACTCTGAAGTGTTCCACTTATGGAGGTGTTCTACTTACAGAGGTGTTCCACTCACAACTTCAGTGCTCAACATTCATACTTTGGGTTAATAATTCCAGTTAGTATATGGATTAGGGTTCAATACTTTTAGCTACCCTGAAAGTAATAATTAATACCATGGGACAGGATGGGACAAGAATTAATATGTTCTGTCTAGGACTTAAGTAGCACAGGGTAGTTCTCAGTTGATAAAGTTGACTTAACCCTGCTTCTTGGAGACCATAAATTGTACAAACACATGAAGCGCAAGGTGTTAATGAGTGAAAAAATATCACTTGTACTTTGTAGTTAGATAACATGGCAAGTTGAAAACTAAACACTCTCTGCTTGTCAGTGTAAAACCCTGATTTGTTCCGCAACGTTTAGGACTGTCTATCACAATCAAACGCTGGTTACCATGGTAATGTAATCATGAAAACTGGTTGATATGGTAACCACTGATTGTATTGCACATGAAAGCTTACCTAAAGTAGTTCAGTAAATCGGATCAACTTTGCCTAAAATGACGATCGAATCATGCTTATTTCACTCCATTTCTCTCTAGAATTTGAATAAAATGTCTGATTTTCTTGCATTTTTATACAATGTAAAGTGTTAACTACATGCCTGATTACTTAATACCTTGCTGATTTCTCTAATTTCCTCTCTATTTTGATTTCTAAAACAGAAGCATCGTGACATTTTGTTCAAAGAATAGGTCTTCTCAAATTCACAGTCTTGTGTTGTGCACTTAATACAAACTCTCAAAACTAGGAAATGTCTCCAATACCAAAACAAGTTGTATTTCTGGTGATTTCATTTCCATAATATTTTTAATAAAGAGCCGGATTCTCCTAATTTTTTGTCTGATGTTTCACTGTTTATTCTATAACTGGTTCCTGGTCTTACGAACATATCGTGTTTATTTTGTTAATCTAAAATCAATTCAGCTTTCAAACATTGTGAAACATACTTGGTAGGGGGGGTACTATTTTCATTGTGGAAGCTTTTCCAAGAGGTGGTTAAAAGAAGGTTATGGTAAATCAGTATAGCGCTGAATTGAAGAAAATGAAAATACAGAAAGGCCAGTGACTTCACTACTGCCTCACTAAAAAACAATGAAACAGAAAATGTGGATGTTTTTCAGTAATCTCTCCATTTCCACATCTCTACTGGCACGTGTTATAGAAAATCAGAGGAACATCTAAATTAAGAAAGAGTGAAAATACCAAGAAATAAGCTAAGCAGACATGAAGTTAACTGGCAAAAAATATACAAAAATGTCATAAAATTTGGTAATTCAGTCAAATTCTGGTGAGAAAAAAGTGTAATATGGTCATGAGCAGACGGAAAAAAACTGTTTCCATATAACAGGTCACCTTGACTTGCTAGTTCTAGAATAATAAATGGTTTCTGTTCAACCATTTCATCCCTGAAAAGTCAGAAACTTATCTACAAGGTTGTAAATCTGTAAAGATTTTGTTTGAGCTTCTATCAAAAATAATCTCCAAGTGCTAATATTACCCAGTATGTATGTCTGATTAGAACAACTTTGCCCGAGTTGGAAATCCATCCGTCTGCTCATGCTTATTTCAACCTATTTCTCTCTAAAATTTGAAAGAACTGACTAATTTTCTTGTATTTTTACATAATTTAGAGTGTTAACTACATGCCTGTTTACTTTATTCCTTGGTTACTCTACTCCTTCCATCTCTTTTTACATTTTATAACATTACTTTGTGAATTTTTATCAATAGGCAGAACAATCTTGTATTTCTTTCCTTTTTTCATTTTTACAAGGTGGATAAAACATATTCCCCCAGGCACCTCCAAAAATAAAGTACTTTTTTAATATCCACACTTGGCTAGACATTTATTTTAAGTACCAATATGTACATAAAATAAAAAATACAAATCAGAGACTATGTTCAAGAAATCAGGTGATAAGAGAGAACAAGATGTTCATTAAGCATGTAAACTCAGCAGTTAAATACACGCCTGAAAATCCCAAAAGCCGTGCGCATTTGATGGCATTTCTTTTTAAAATTTGAACAAAGTGTTTGATTTTATTGCATATTTATACAATTTGGAATGTCAACTACATGTCCATATACTTTAATCCCCGCTTATTCCTCTCTTTTTTACTTTATTTTACATTTAAAAAAGTGACCCTCGTGTAATTCACTACTGGGGTTGTCTGATAAAAGAGACGTTCTCAACAACAGGTGAGAACCAGTGAAAAAACATTGTTACGTTCTTGTTTTAAAATGTAGAAATAAAGTAGGAAAGCGTGGAATTAGCAAGGAATAAAGTAAATGGGCATGTATTAAACACTCTAAATTGTGTAGAAACGCATGAAAATCGAGACATTAATGATTCAATTTTTTTAAAAATCTTTAATAAGCATTGGTGTGGTGATATTTTCTACGTTAACAGGAAACCTAAGTAATTTACTTAGATTCCAAACATTTCTGACTTTTTTCTCCAAATGCAATCTAATTTTGTCTCAGCATATAATTTTGAAAACACCTGTGTAAAATTGCAAGTAATTACTGAATCAATATTTGAAAGGTTGAGAATGTTGCAAACGAAATAAAACGAAGATGTTTAGGTACCCCTTCAAAGTCAAGTGAAAATGAAAAGTACACAGGCCCGACGCCCGAACCCTGCGAAACCCCGCCCCCTCTCTGATCAAAAATTCTTTCAAAATCATGCAATTTTCACTATTTTGAGCACTTCTCAAGTGATTTTAGCCATATTTGGCATATTTGGGCCAAAATTTGTCAAATGTGAACCCCCCCTGGAAATTTTTGAAAACTGAACCCCCCCTCCTTGGCAAATCCTGGCTACGGACCTGGTACATGTATGAGGTATATACATGTACAAGTCTGAATTCAGAAATGAGTGTAATAGCTCACACTTAGAATTAAAAGAGAAAAATCTGATGTTTGTTTCAATATTAATTTCGGAAAAGAGGTGTCAGAAAAATGTGCCAAAATTTATAGGAATATTTGGGGCACGATTATCACTTCAGGGTCAACTTCACCTATAGATGCACTGTTAGTCTGCCTCGCTACTTAAATCAATGACAAAATTGCTCATAAAATGCGCTAAAAAGGTTTTCACTTGTTACATGATTTGTTACAAGAAAGGAGGCAATTTTTGCTAATTTTTTATATTAATTGACAGACATACTGTAGATGTATATTTTCAGAAGTCTGTTGCTATGTAGAGACACCCTATCCACAATTTATTTCATTTTGGAAAAAAACTTCATCACCTAAATTTTAAAATGTATATCCATGTATCAAATTTAACTTCCTCTTTGCATGAATTATCTTTATTATTTTGAAATATTGCCTGTGACAGTCCTAACAAATTGTAATTTAAAGATACAACATCAAGAAACGAATGATATGGATTTAATGTAGTTAATCTGAAAACATAGGATCAAATCCTATGCTAAGGGCTGATGTGAAATAGTCGATCCACCCTGGTGGTAACCGTACCAACAACCTTCCGATTACATGTCAGGTGCTCTACCACTTGAGCTACGAAGCCCACTGACTCTATCCAACAACATTGCATATATGGCATCACAGCAATGACTTACATGCCCAGTCTCCCAGACCCATTATGAAGTTTACCTGTCTTTCCAGGTTGTCAATCACACTATTCATGATGTCACATGGTCTTTCCCATGTACCATTCCCCATATGGGTTTAATGTATTGCAATGGATAATACAATATGGCCCAACACTATGTGATTGGACATAAAAAAGGGAAGACATTCCTATCAAAACAGATGACGTGCCTTCCCCGTTTTTGTTAAAAAAAACAATACTTACATTCCAAGTTTGTGCCCATTCCAGCAATGTTTGTTTCCTGTATCAGCAAACTTTTCCTCGTTGCAAACGGAATCAGCGAGGTTCTTATAGAAGCCCTTTGATTGGTTGAGATTCTGCATGAAACTCTCGATCTTCGTGTGAACATCAACGCTGGATTGGATAGGCGTCATCTTGATGGATTTCGAGGGAGTTGGAGTGGAATGTGGAGATGCACTAGGATGGCCACATTTTGTGATCACCTGTAACCATGACAACATGTTTTAATGAAACACTGGAACTAAGATAGACAAAATCCAAATTTTTGGCCTCTGATTTTTCAGATAACAATATAATTTTTATTATGCATCATAAAAGATGAATTCAAGTAATTATAAAAAGTAATAAAAACATGGATGTCATCCTATTCGGTCGTTACTTGAAAAAATTAATTAAGTGAATCTTCTCTACTCAGTTTCTTTATTTTATTTAAGTGGGGAAAGCATGTGTCTAATAATGAGGGGGATCAAAGGCCCCTCTTCATCTTAGTTAAAATATTCAATTAGAAACCCAATCATCATCTAGTGTCACTTTACCCTTTGGGAGCCCCTTATCACCTTGATACTGTGATTTATATGATCTTAACACTTAATACACAAGTGCTGTTGACTTTATTGCCAAGCAAATCCGGAGTCCAAAATGTCCATCTGCTCATGCTTATTCCACTCATTTCTCTCCAAAATTTGAATGAAGTCCCCGATTTTCTTGCATTTCTATACAATTTAGAGTATCCGCTATAAGCCTATATACTTTATTTTTAGTTATTTTTATCCATATTTACCTAATTTCCAATTTATAAACATGAGTGTGATCTCTTTTTGTATTAACAAATGTCTCCAATTTCATAACTTTCAAGGACCTGTCACATAAAAATATTGGAAACAGCCACAAAATCATAATTTCCACCCAGAATGAAATAAAAAGAACGTAATTATCATTATTGTTAAGCTTGGACCATTAGTCTTATGGTCCTGAACATTACTCGCAGCACATAACAAAAATTGGAAAATGATGTATGAACCAAAAAAACATGTTTCTCGTTCTAGAATGTGTCATTTATCAACTGTACATTACCATATAAACAAAGCCATCTTGTTAGGAGATGATTGTTTATTATTTCCCAAAGATTGAGCATGACTTGTTATGAAATGTATAATTAACTCAGGAAATATACTGCTAAATTTTCATGTATAATAAGATCTGTGTAAATACCAATGGAGCCACGAAAATGTGTTCACAATTGGTGGGTATTCACTACTGAGGGGTAATTTTATAGCGAACTTAATGGAGTACATGAAAGGGTGTTCACTAGACACAGGTGTTCACTAGACACATGTGTTCACTAGACACAGGTGTTCACTAGAGAGAGGTGTTCACTAAGACAGGTTTGATTGTACTGTATTTTTAGACCCATCATAATTGTGACATATGGACCCAGAATTACTTCATTTATAAAAAAATAACCTCTCTTCCCTCAATTAAAATGGCATCTTTCTGGTTAACAGGGACATATCCCTGGATTATTTCCAAGAAACAACCCCCTAAATGGTCAGAGTTACAGAGCAAATCTAACTGCTCATAAGAAGAATTTTCATCTTTTACAAAAAAGCTTAAAAATCAATGATTTCTGGGGTGTTATACAGGCAGAAAATCCTTTTCACAAAGCTTTTTGTCAAAATGCTTTGTAAATCAGCTGACCCCCTCCCCTCCCCACAATCATACCCTGCTTGAAACCTCTAAACTAATAAATGAACACATCAAGCGCACATGTTTTTATTCTACCAGTGAAGTTCAAGGTTACTAGGTTAACAAGCTCTAGACTCAAACTAGACTTTAACAAAAAATAAAACTTCCAAAAAATCACAACCATATATTCAATTTCATCAGAGCCCAACAAAACAAAACTTGGGGATCCATAAAACCTTTGGAAAGACCGACATCAAATCTGCACAAAAATGTAAACAAATGGTTCTCATAGTAACAAAAGCACAACAGGGTCCCTCGAGTTTTAAAATCCAATATAAGGGAAGTGTGCTTGCTTTGCAACATGAGTTACAGTATCAGAGCACCAGGGCAGGACTCCCCTGGATATATCAGCCACTTATGTATCTACTTGAGTTGTGTTTTTACAACTTGAAATGTTTAAAAATTAATTGAAGAACAACTTTGAAGGATTCAACAATCGTGAGCTGAAGTCAACAAAAACGAAATAATCTTTTCTACTTTGAGTTCTTCAAATATTGCTGTACTTCATGACTACATGTACTTTTATTGAAATCAAGTTGGCGTTAATCATTAAAATGAAAAAATGAGATCAAAATCTGAAGTGGGTGAGAGAAGGATACAGTCCTCAAAGCAAAAAGCCCATTGATCAAGCTTATTGTATGAGTATTTGACCCTCTCTGTCCCTTTTAGATACCACTTCTCCCTACACCCACAATCCGCACTCTAAAATCACAGTACCGTACGTTACATTAAGAGTATGGTACAGTTGGAGTATGGTGCCGTACAGTGTTCATGGTACCATATGGTACCGTTTTAGTCTACGGTACCATACGGTACCATATTTAATGGTACCATTTCCAAAACGGTACCTTACAGTACTGAGACAACATATTTGATTCTTACCTCAGCATAAAACTTTGGGCCAAATTCTAGAGCATTCATGATGGCCTCAGAAATCCTATTATCTAGCAGATCTAGGACATCTTGTATATTGAACACACCCTGCATATGCTCCGTAATCTTCTCCACAGCGTCGACGTAGCGACTCCAGTGTATGTCTAGCTTAGCGAGCTCAATCATACACCCCCTCATGACGTTCATACAGAACCCCTTGCATGGTTTAACCCCCATATGACCCTCACAGTGACCACAGTAGCGCAATCTGGTGAGCGCCACGGAACACTCGCCTGTCAATGGGAGATGATCTGTTGTGTTGATCGCCTCCACGCCTAGATTTAAAGCCTCAAGGAAGACTTTTGCTGTCTGGAGTGACTTCTCTAGCTGATGGAACATTTTTGCGGGAACTCCGCCAAATGGGTCGGGATGGATCTCCTGCCGCACTTGCGTTAAACATTCGGTGTAATTCTCCGTAAGGTCGCTACGGGCATCATTTATGATATAATGGAAAACAGGTGGGAACAACACTTCGAAAAATGTTGTAACCGTATCCTTCATATTGACCGGTTTCCTGTTTAAGAATTTTTGGAGGTCTATTGCCAAAGCGTCCAGAGCGCCCTTTCTTGCCTTGTGTGGCATTTTATGGTAGTTAATTGTGAACATTGTTTCTGTGTTGTTCTTGGCGGCTTCTACCATTTGTACAAATGCCTCTGAAAGTACATAATAAACAGCAGGTTAGAACCTATAATGCCATATGATTTAAATACCCATAATGCAACACTACAAGATGCAGCAGGTTAGAAACCATGATGCAATATGCCATGTTATTTAAATACCCATAATACAACACTATATACTCTATGAGAGCAGGTAACAACCCACAATGCAATATTACATATATTTAAATACCCAGAATACAATGCTAGATTATGCATAAACAATGGCAGATGAGAGTAAATAATTAGATTATATGAAGTAATCCTAATATATTATCCTGTTACATAAAAACACAATGGCACCACCTGCCATTTGTTACAGATGCCAAACACCGAACTCTGAACACCGAATACAAACCACCAAACACCATCACAAAAAACTTGGGAGAACACTCACGTTGGTCACATAATAACTGAGAAATAATATGCATGTTATCGCTATTCCATCCACAGGCCAGACATAAATGGAAGACAAAACTTAATTTAATATTCTACAATCAAACATTATGCAGGGGCATCCGACAGATTATGTACAAATGAATATTTCATTTGAAATGCGAGAACGGACAATGTTTCTTTAGGGATCATTTTTGCAATCGATCAAAAAATCGGTGATTTGTGTTTTCCCTTTGATAATCGGGCTACGTCTTCAGAAAAAAATCTGGCAAAAATATCTTTTATCTTCTCAAAATTACAATTATTACTAAATTCACTGGATACGTCATGGTATCAATATTCGGTAAATGTACCTATTTTGGAAATACAGTTACAAAGAAAGAAAAATATATTTCACCCTTGGGGAATATTTTGCAAGGGGATGTAAATGATGAATTGATAGAGATTATGCTAACTAGTGACTCATTGGATAATCTGCATTCTAGTTGTCAAATATGCTGTAACAACTTATTGAACTTGTTTCATCTTATTAAACTAGTTTAATCAATACAGTCGCAGCTGACCCAGCTTTAAAATCTCCCTCATTTTAAATTGTCTAGTCTAGCTCTAAGTCCTTGCCAACGTGTGAGAAGGTGTATAGTCAAGTAGAGTGGGTCACAGTGGTTTGTCATTGGACTAAAATTGTCTAACATTGCATATAACAAGAGTGATATAAATATAATATACCCCAAATATGATTCATATCTGCACTGAAGTTGTCACTGTTAAATAATAACATATAATTGAATCAGTTACATAAATACAGTTTGATACATGGCTCCTAAAACTGGCTCTTTTTATTAGGTTTCATCATGTCAGTCTATTGAATAACCTCAATTACTGAAGACTCTAATAAGTACTCAATATGTTGTTACATCTTACAAAGGAAGACAATGGTATTTATAATATCATGTTTCCCCTCCCCCCAGAATATGTAACAAAGCTAAAACTGGGAGTTTTTTCAGTGTGACTTAACATTATAACATATACTAGGTCAGTTTACAATCATATTACATTTGAAAAAGAGCAGAATCAGCAGACCCCCACAAACATAAAAAGAGGGACTTTGAAGAATCTCAGTGCGGTTTGTTTTTCTTCAGCGTTGTTAAACATATATTCGAAAATACAGCAGGTCATTATGCAATCCTATTATACTTTCCAAGTCTGATTTCCCTTAGGGTACACTCTTATCCAATGTTACCCTTTGTTGATACTGAAATCCACCTGGGACGAGCCATGGGTGAAATTCATCAGATAAGGGACCATGTATTTAATGTTTCTATTCAAGGCCCATCGGTTGTTTATCTAACATATAAGTTAGGTCTGCATAACCATGAAAAGTTGACATTTATGTTTTTGCTTGAAAGCTGGAAAATGGGAAAAATAGGGCTGTACCTTGCAAATCTAAATTGGAAAGTCTATCGATTTTTCAACAGTTTTTATCAACATCAAGCAATGTAAAAATATACATTGTACTTATTTTATCCTTGGCAATACAAATCGATAATAGTATATGGTGTATCAAATAATTATATAGTATTATATAATTTCAATGTATCTTACAGTACTGGTAACTTAACAATGTATTTCAATAACAATTTTAACAATCATATTTTTATGTATATGTCATTTTATAGTACTGGTTAACTTTCATGTGTCACTGTTATAAATCGTGAGAGAAAATAAACTTTTTTTTAAATACTATAAACTGTCAGTCAAGCCCTGCAGGGGTTTTCTAATTATATTAGCTCACCCACTATTTAATTTCAGTTAAGTTATACAATTTGAAACATAGCACCCTGTCTGTAATATTAATTCATCATTTATGTATATACGAGGCATATGGGGGTACCTGCATGAAAAACTGATTGGGAAGAATATTTTACAAATTCAATCAATTTTGTTACATCCAATATGCATTATGCAATGTCTCCATTTATATCATTAACATGTTTATTTGCTTTCAAATGTTGCCATTTATGCATGCCTTAAATTAAATATATTTCATATAGAAGGAAAAGAAAGATGATAGCCGTAATATTCTCGAACTAATAAATATACATTTGGTCAGATTTTTTTCTAATTCTACATATGAGCTGATTTTGCTGCCGTGTATACTGATACATTTCACCCATGCCTTGATCATGATACTGCTAAGCAAACTCACGGTATCATGAGGTTGGGTTAGTACCCGTGAATTCTACATTGAGGTGATCACACTGCTATGTATGCTAATACATATAGCCCAGTGCCTCAGCCATGATACTGCTAAGCAAACTCACGGTATCATGAGGTTGGGTTAGTACCCGTGAATTCTACATTGAGGTGATCACACTGCTATGTATGCTAATACATATAGCCCAGTGCCTCAGCCATGATACTGCTTTAAGCAAACTCACGGTATCAAGAGGTTGGGTTACTACCCACGAATTCATCATTGATATGATTAAACTGCAGAGTACGCTCATACATATAGCCCACTGCTAAGCAAACTCAACAGTATCACAAAGTCTGGTATAGTACCCATGAACCATCATGATAAACCATGACATCTCATTTCTTCTCAGCCCTGAGATGTTTCATGTTTCAGGTGAAACAGAAAGAGTATCAGAATGCCCATGAACCCTAACTCTAGAAACATTATGATGGCCTGATAATAGAATGAGAGTTAATACATCAGTGACAATGAACATAGATAATCCATTGATAATCCCATTCTGAATCTAATAACCCTTAAATAAAATTTCACACTATCATACTGAGAACAAGAGCTACCGATTAACTAAGGAGTAATAATTTACCAAAAATTGCATACTTCATGGTTCAAATACCAGAAAACAATAGAATTCGCAAAATATGAAAATTATTTATATTTGGACAGGAAACTAGATGAAATAAATGTGCCAAATAGATATATAAAGTCCAGGTAATAGCATGTTTTATTGATGAGGTATCCAGTAAAAGGTCCTTTTTATAGTATATTTTTCAAACTATTATTGACATATAAGTCTATATGCATTTGTATGTTCTATCTTATTCTGTGTATTAACTCAATTTCTTTGACTGTTTCATGTTAATCTAACTTGATTTCCGATGAAGGAAAATTATGAATGGAATCTAATTTTGCTGCTCTTTGATTTAGGTGGAGGAATGTACATGTATGAGTTTTTTCCTATTTTTGGATGATAAATTATTCAATGATGCAATTATTCTAACATGCGATTGCTGTACTACCTCACTACTCGCACGGAACATGCTTTACTCAGTCATTTATATATGATTCGTGGCTGGGAGATCATGTTTTAAAATGGAAAATACAGTAGTAAAGAGAGGAATAAGCAAGGAATAAACTAAATACAGATGCAGGCAATACTCTAAATTGTATAGAAATGCAAGAAAATCAGACACGTCATTCAAATTTTAGAGAGGAAATTCGTAAAATATGCATGACCTGATCAATATAACAGACACGTTCGTTGTCTTTGTAAGCATTGCAGTGGATCAATACCACAGTATGTGTGAGTAAGATTACATTGATTGCTTCATCAACATTCAAACCTCCGTCTGCTCATGCTTATTCCACTCATTTCTCTCTAAAATTTGAATAAACTACCCGATTTTCTTCCATTTCTGCATAATTTAGAGTTTCCTCTAAATATATGTGCCAATAATTTTCCAGTAATTTCACCCCTTTTTACTGAATTTTGGATTCTAAAACATGACCTTCACAACATTTTTACGGGAATTGAGCCAGACAGGGAAGTCTTGAACAATAGATATTATGGATCCAGCATTGAGGCATCCAATAATGTTATTCTAGTTTCCCCGACAAAAGAAAACATTTATTCAAAATAATATCTTCTTTATTCGTCTATATTAAACCTCCCTAAATGTCGTCAAAACATCAAATAAATTTCTGAGTATTCATAACACTCCGATACATCTTGTTCCTTTAAACACACATGTTTTTGAAAATTTAAGCGAGAAAAAATATTTTGTGGTGATACTTTATAACAAGGATGTTTTTACTCCACCTTGTATTTCAATATTAGAACAGGTGTCTCTTAGAAATTTTATCGAACAATTTTCATAAAAAAATTAAGGTCATCTGTATGCTTAAGATAATTTTTTGAATATTTGCCATGCATAAAGGTACACATTTGAGGTTGTCCATATTGTAGGTTACTGTATGTTGTTTACAATGTAAATCTGTTTTAAAAATGCATATGTCTACCACATGTTTTTATCAACTAAAGTCTCACTACGGTTGGCATTCAGTGGGCAGCTTTACAAAATTTTTACAAAAATCTACAGCGCACTCTTCCCTATATTTTTTGCTGCTTCTCTCGATTTTCGGAAGCTACGGTTGTTATAGATCAAATGTGACTGAGGCATAACTTATATATGAAAACAAAAAGTTGTTTCTTCAGATTATTTTCGAAAAATATTTCTTTAAATCTGAGTAATGGTATTGGGAAGCTGATGAGTGTCTATGATGAGATATTAACATGCAAAATATCACCACCTGCCATTTGTTACAGATACCATCCACTGAATGC